CCATCATGTTGCATGGCTCCTTCTCTTTGTAACTAAGTGTGCAACAAGCTTTCAAGAATGGACAGGAATGCTAGTAGCTATAACAAATGAAACTGGGAAAAAATCAGCAGCTTAATACAAAGTTATTTCTCATTCATTACAAGTACAATTGGCGGTAGGAGTGATTATGGTGGTAGTGGTCTGTGTACCTCTCTTCCTTGCAGTCATTCAAGAACTCAGGCTAGCAGGATACCCAGGTGCCAACATCCAAGTGGCAGAAGCAGGTCTGGGGAGGGAGGGAGGAAGGAAATAGATTTTCCTGTGAGAGGGTTTTATGGGCTAGCCTTGTCACTTTTTTTTCTTTGAGACTCAGTATCATTCTGTCACCAGACTGGAGTGCAGTGGCATGATATCCACTCACTGCACCCTCTTCCTCCCAGGTTCAAGGAATTCTCCTGCCTCAGCCTCATGAGTAGCTGGGACTACAGGCGTGCACCACCATGCCCAGCTAATTTCTGTATTTTTAGAGAATACGGGGTTCTCTGTAGAGACAGGGTTTCACCATGTTGGCCAGGATGGTCTTGATCTCTTGACTTCGTGAGCTGCCCGCCTTGGCCTCCCGAAGTGCTGGGATTACAGGCGTGAGCCACCGTGCCCAGCCAGGCCTGTCACTTTTATTCCTATTTAATTGGCCAGATCTCAGCTCCATGGGCACAACTAACTGCAGAGGAAGCAGAGGAATGAGGTCTAGCTGTGTGCTAAGTAAGAGAATGGGCAGGTTTTGATTACTACATAGGGGTCTCTGGTTTCTGCCTTACCCCCAGGGTACATTGATTCTGTGTAGCGATTCCCTCTCAACTTCTTCCTTTCTACCGCATGTCTTTAGTTGCTGATGAAATATTTCAGAGGTGATTCCTACTTGCCATGAGTAGTTGGGAAATATTTTTAAGGTAGTGATTTTCATCAAGCAACCATCTGACTTTTATGAGGCAGCCTTGAAGTTTCCCTAAGCACTCCAATTTCTGCCTTAGAATATGACAGTGCATTAGTTTGTGTAGGGCATACAATGGCCATATGTCATTCTCAGTTGTGCATATAGATTTAGCTTCAGGTGAATATAACTGGGAATATTACTCTTCTAATCTTCTCAGGCTTAATGAGATCAGCGATTAAAAAAAATCAGATCTCAAGTTTCCTTTAGACAATTTGTCTGGGAAAATTATATCACAACTTTATAGTTGGATATCATAGCTTTTTTTGGTATAGAGCAATGGTTCTCAAATTGTGGTTCCCAGACCAGCAGCATCAGCATCACCTGGAAACTTGTTAGTAAAGCGATTCTCAGGCCTCACCTCAGACCTCCTGAATCAGAAACTCTGGAAATGAGGTCTAGCAACCTGTACTTTCACAAGTCCTCTAAGAGAATATTCCAGAACCACTGGTTTGGCGATTTGGAGTTGATTTAGATCATTGTCGAAGCGTTTCACTTCAAGGACCAAATCAAGACATTATTTGAAATCATTTGTTTAAAACATATAGAATCTCTCTCTTCATTGCTGTGAATTAAGAGTGTCATAAAAATTCACCGAACGAAAATATTGCGAAGAGCCCTGGGAGGTCATTAGAGCATGTAGTTTTCAAAGGTGTTAGTTACAGAAATCTAAGGTTCTATGAAGCATCTCTAGGGGTTTCTTAAAAGAAAATGTTCATGCGTTTGGTTGGTGACTATCCTTTGACCACCCAGGGTTTGTCTCTAAAAGACTTGAAATTCTGTGCCAGAAGAAATGTAGCTTTAGGACCAAGTCTATATCTTATTTGTCTTTAAATCTTCATTACCTTCCAGAGTGCCCAGCATAAAGTACATACATAACAAACATTTACAATGTATGTATGTATGGAATAGTCATCTCATGGATTCAAGTGCTTAACTAACTTTTACTAATATTCTGGGGTTATTTTTTAAAAACCAATTTGGATAGTTGTTATTAAAGAGTACTGACTGCTTTATGTATTCCGCCAGTCTTTTCAGCAGTTTATGATTTTATCTAGCAGATATTCAGAATAATGCCTCCAACTCTGAGAAAGAAAGGGGGAGGGGGAGAGAGAGAGGAAGAGAGAGAGAAGAGAAGAGAGAGAGAGAAACTTATATGAAGATAGTGTTTGTTCCATTTCTTGAAATGTCTATAAAAATATGCTACTTTGACCAAGCCTTCTCAGTGACCAACCCAGGATTTCTTCCTCAACCTTGGCACTACTGACATCTGGCGCTGGATCATTCTTTGTTACGGGATCTGTCTTGTACATTGCAGGATACGATGCTGGGCAGCATCCCTGGTCTCTGCCCACTAGATGCTGGCAGCATCACCTACTACTCCTAGTAGTGACAACTAAAATGTCTCCAGACACTGACAAGGGTCTCCTGGGAGGCAAAAGTGCCCAGGCTGAGAATCATTGCTCTAACCTAATGTTAATAGGGGAGTAGTAATTTTCCTGCATTTTATTCAAAGCTATGGAAATAGGCTTTGAGAAAGAGCATATGTTCCACATTTCTCTTTAGCTCATTGTTGAGGACTTTGGCAGTGACAGCTCTATCTATTTTGAAATGATTTGGTTCACAAATCCTCATTATTTTAGGCCACTTTTCTCCCTGGAACAACTTTATCTTTGGAGATGCAAATTCACAAACTCTAAGCATCTTTCTTACACTTTCTGTGATCTTCTACACAGCTTTAGCACTGAATTCCATTATTGGGCATTTTTATTTAATAACTTCTAAATAATCCATAGACTGGCTAAAGGAACTCCGTATAAGTCCATAATACAGAGCTAGCAACTGAATGGTTTTTATTGACTTCATTACAATATTTTAAAAAATTATTTAAGGAAAAAAATCTAAGTAAAATGTAATAATACCTTTTATTACATCCTACTGCAAGATTCTGTCCATGGAAAGAAATTCACAATTGCTTCTGGGATTTACTTCCCGGTATCTAAAGAATATGCTAGTAATTCTATTTCGTGATTTATTTTGGATGTTATCTATTTTCCTCCCTTTAGCACGTGAGGATTTAGCATTATTTCAACCTCCCCTCACTTCTGCTCCTCCATAATATCAATATATTACAATTTTTCTTTAAATCATCAGTGTTTAAATGATGAGCTGACAGTGTATCCTGACATCCTTATTGACATCCTCATGTAAATGTTCCTTCCCTCTCTTATTTTCCACGTGGGTATGTGTTTTAAATAGTCCCCCTTTTAAAAAATTTAATGGTATTTTGAGACAGTGAGAGGATAAAAGTATATGGCCATCACATATTTAACAGGAACTAAAATTATTTTTGAAAACTTTGGAAAGATTACATAAAAAGCCTCAAAATCTTATTGTTAGAGGGTAAAAATTTCTGTTTTCCCCTCACCTCTTACATTTAGCATAAATGACAGTGTTTTATTTCAAATTTAAGAAACAAGTATAAAATCTGATTTTTAATTTTTCATGAAATAAATTTTGTATAATTCTTGTATCATTAACACCAATAAATCAGGACCATAAAGAAAACAAAAACAGAGGATTAAAAAAGACAACCAATTGACATGACAGATGAAGAAGATACTAGATGAGAAGAAACATGTATACAACAAAGCCTACAATTGGGAAATTGTGGGAATCAAAGTCAAGCAGTTAATTACTAACAAAGATGGCAACCATGTTTCTTTTGTCTTTCACAGTGAATGCACAATTAGCACTTAATACTAAGACAAGGGAATAAACCATCTATAATCTACTGAAAAAGACCATCTGCTTCTATAAATTTTGTTCTCATACACTTGCCAAAAGAAGAGAACATATTAACAAAATAATGGGCCCTGCACTGTTAATTGCTAGGTTGTTTGCAGTTGTGCTGTTGCTATTAGAATTTAATAAGCCATTCCTTCTGCTAAATTAATAAGCAGCCAAGATTATGTAATAGCTGCTTTCAGCGGCTAATTATTTTTCCCACAATTCCCTCCCCTCCCTACCCCTACCCCCACCTTCTTTTGGCTAGGAGCAGGGAAAGGAGACTGCCAATATGTCATCAGCAAGTCTCCCGTCCTCATTTTCAGAGCCAGAGCAACATTAGGAGCATAATCAGAGTTTAAACTTGGAGGTGGCTGTCTCAGGAACCTTAAGGATATAAGTGTTTTGTACAGAAAAAGAGAAACACAGCATTTGGATTCAGAGGGCGAATTTTCATTGTGTAGCATTCGAGCTATCTTTTAACTGGCTAATGGCATCTGTTTCTTGTAGTGAGAGACAAATGGGACATTCGAAAGCACCTTTGGGGCATGACTGGGCAGGGAGCAAGGAGAAATCTGGTGGGGTCGAGGAGACCTAAAGAACTACAGAAAGCCAATTCTGTGCCGTGTGTCGTCTCCTTCCTTTAATATTCCAGTATACATTAATCATACATGTTAGTAGGAAACTTTCCAAGCAGCATAGTAGTGATTGAAAAGGGGAGGTATTACACATTTTTTTGTTTTGCCATACAAAGGCATTTTTTAAAATGCCCCAAATACTACTGTCTTAGATTCATAGATAGTATAATGCACACAAAAAGAATATAATCACTAACAAAGGATCCCTTTACACTGATTACATTTAGCTTCGTGAAAAACTTAGCATTTCTTTTTTACTTCAGGCCATTAAAAAATTCTGGCGACTATATTTTGGAACCTCTGCAAAAGGGGCATGGCCCAACAAAAGCAATTTTCTCGATTCCTCTGTAAGAACCTAGGTGACTCGGGTAATGAATAGCATTCGATATGGGAAACCCGTGGCTTTTCAAGGAAGGTCATCTAATCCCGTGGGGCTCCCCTTTCTTTATCTGTAAAGGACTAGATGATTCATCCATTCTATCATTCAGAAAATTATGAACATCCATTATGCCCCCGCATTATGCTCAGCATTACAGCTCTTAACAAATTTATCATTTTATAGTCCTTATCAGTCAACTCACACATTTACCAGGCAGTGAACTAGGTTGGGATGCAAAATGAATATAATTTAAGGTGTGCTAAATAAAGGCTAACGGGCATGCGGGTGAATGAGGGAATCACTCTTACAGGGTTTTAGGTTGAGGCTTCGCAGGAGATGTAACATTTGAGAGCAAAGACATGCCACCCACAGCAAGTCGTCGGCAGTGCTAAACTGGAACCCAGGCGGCTGGTGGGGCGACCGGGTGTGAAGGAAGCGGGATCTCGAAGGTGAGGTGCTGTCCAGGCTTTTCAGCCGAACGGACGGTAACTCATCCAGTCCGCAGCATCAAGGAGGGGCGAGGCGAGCCCAGGGAACAGACCCCTGCGAAGCTCGGGGCGAAAGGTGTCTGGGCTAGGGCTCGAGCAGTGCAATGGGAAGGACAGCCTGGATTCTGGGCAATTTTGGAACAGAATGATAGCAAAAGGCCCGTGAAAGCGTGACTAGCTCCACAGAAGAGCTGAATTGTTTTTCCAGAGTTGCAGCACTCCCTCACTCCTCCCACCCTCCTCGTCAGCTGTCACACCTCCCCGACCCACCCTCTAGGGACACGGAGAATTATCAGAGCTCCAACTTGGCTCTCCGCTGTCCGGACCTTCTCTGCCCCACACCTCCGGCTAGGCTAAGGACGCCGCAGAGTCCCGTCCTCCTTTCATTAAACAGCCAGGACAGCCGCCCGCGCGCGTCCCGGAGGCACCGGCAGGAGCGCGCGGGCGCGCGGGGCCAGCAGACGCCGCTTCCGGGTCACGTGGCCTGGCTTCCGGTTCGCACCACTCCTCTCGGCGAAGAAGCCTCCAATCGGCTTCTTTGGACTCAGCGGTCACCTGCGCTGCCTTCGGTGCAGTTGGTGACGGCTGAGCCGCTTCCCGCGCGTCGCGTAACCCGCCCCTCGACTCACCGCAGCCCCGGCTCCTCCCTCGTCCGGCCCCCGGGGCGGGGTCTGTCGGCTCGCCCTCCCCTCTCTGCCTAAGCCTGCCCTCCGCCAGCCGGGTCCCCTCCCCACAGCACCACGGCTTCTCTTCCTCAGCAAGGCGACAGGGGCTTCCCCTTAGCCGCCGCCGCCGGCCAAGCTCCGCCGCGCCCGCGGCCCGCGGCCGCCGTAAGTCCCTGGGGACAAGCGGGGGCGCCAGGGATGGAGATCGAGAGGGAGGGCTGGGCGCGCCCCCCGCCACCCCGCGCGCGCCCCGACGACCCCACCCCGCGCCCGCCCGGCCCGCCACTGGGTCGCCGCGCCTTTAACTCACTTCTCTCCGTGTCCGCGCCCTGCGCACCACTCCGCGCCGCGCCCGGGGATGTGGGGGCCAGTCCCGGACTCCGCGACAGCCCCGCAGCACCTGTGGTTCGAGAATCGCCTCAAGTTTTGCTGGGTGTTTTCGGGAGGGGCCGGGGGCGGTGGCGGCCGAGGACTCTTGGCGCCCCCTGCGCGGCGGCGGATGCCATTGTCTGCTCCGCTCCTTGCCTTTCACCTCGCCCGGGCTTGGTCAGTGATGGAGTGTGGCCACCGGAGGTGGGGAGGCACTGGCGACGGCCGGACCCGTGGAACGCTGGCCCCGAGCCCGCGCCGCGGCTGAGCCCATTGTTTTTAATGCTAATCTCGAGGAATTGTGGTACCCTGTGATTTTCGGCAAAATCAAAGCGTTGGTTTTTAACACGAGGGAAGGAATACTCGTGCCTTGCAACCGGGTTTCGTCCCATGTTAGCACATAATTTGTTTTAAGGAGAATACATTGTTTTTTCGTCCTGCAAAGTGGTAGGGCGGATACAGGACCCTGCTCCAGACAGCCTTGAGCTCATACTCTTTTCGCAAGCAAACCCTCACCCCTTCTGGTGGCTAAGATCTAGGAATACGGGATTCATTCTTCTCCAAGTTTTGGTAACGGGTTTGCAGTAAATGTCCAGTTGATGCTTCACTTGCTGCCCCCTTCGAATGCCGCTATCTTCAGGACTTGCTCGGGAGGCACTTCGATATCTTCTAATAATGTCCGTATATTTTGTGCCCTTGACACATTTTAAGTGAGGTAATAAGACCATTTTAACTTTACTGAAGTTGAATTGCCACATCATAAATTTCTAGATATCGTGTTGATACGTTTTTGGATGGTTACAAAAGAGTAACGATAATCTTCTTACCAAAATTTAGGGCCCATTTTTATTTTACATTGGTTGTGTAAATTTCCCCTCCCCCGTGTTCAAATTCAAGATGGTGCGATGAATCTTGAGAATCAGGCTTAAATCTTACTTGCAGTAACGCTGTTAAGGGAACTTAAAATAGTTAAAAGAAAAAAACGATACCTATGCAAATTCTGCCTTTAAATTACCTTTGTAGAAACAATACTTCTGTTCGCAGTTGTGATGACCAATTGAATTAAGAAACCCTTGGCGTTAAAAATGAAACATGCAGGCTAATTAACACATTTGCAGATTACAAATAAATACATACAAATTAGTTTAAGTATAAAATACATTAGAATTCAGCATCCACTCTTTGTAGTTACTATTTTTTGTTTTAAATGAAGTATTTCATATAATGTCTCAATACTAAATCTTAATAAGTATAAATCTTATTGTGGCCTTTTTAATGTTTGTATTCTCTGTCATAATACTACATTAACTCAGTTCTAGATTTTGTACATATTTGAGTTGGAATGTTTTAAAAGTAAGATGAAAACATGTTTTGATTAAGGAAAATTTGTATTTATGGGATTTTTTGGTTAATATTTTGGATCATTCTGTTTTGCTTAAAATATGCCATCATAAACTGAGGAGAGCATTCCAAGATTTAAGCTACTGTCTACAAGTAATTCAGCCTGGAACAAGAACAGCCTCAGGGTGAAAAATAGCAGGTCTTCTGTTTCTTTCAAAAGTCAAACCAATTGATGTCTACCATTCTCTTTTGGTGCATATAGAGACTGCACAATGTATAGCACAGGTAGAAAATAGTTTCTTAAATTGAGAGAGTGATCTTTATTTTTCTTCAAAATTTCACATCAGCTTATTACCTATTTTTCTTTTTTTCTCCTGCACGCTCCCCTCCAAATGTAATGTGGAACAAGGTGGGACTGGAAAGTTTGCATCTAGAAGAAGATCTATTCAAAAGAATTTTTTGCTATTTTAATTGGCATAGAAATATTGATGGCTACCAATCATTTGTCATTTAAATGCCCCATCCCCCAGAGCTTCTCTGTGAAACACATAATCTTAAGTTTATTGATTCAGAGTATGCCATGTAATCTTGATTTTATTTATCTTAACAGATGCAGTTTATGTTGCTTTTTAGTCGTCAGGGAAAGCTTCGACTGCAAAAATGGTACGTCCCACTATCAGACAAAGAGAAGAAAAAGATCACCAGAGAACTTGTTCAGACCGTTTTAGCACGGAAACCTAAAATGTGCAGCTTCCTTGAGTGGCGAGATCTGAAGATTGTTTACAAAAGGTATAATTCTTATTTATCAGAAAGGTGCAATAGAATCAAATGTTAGGTCATTTAGGAAATTGCAGACTTTTGAGTGATGACATTTATAAATAATGATTAATAAAGATTTAGATGAAATAGATTTAAGATAAAGCTTTGTGTTTTTAAAATAACTGGTATTTTGATTGATTACTGAGGCTGAAATGATAAAGGCAGGGAAATCATTTGAAAACTAGTTACATAATTAAAGGCATAAATGATTATTCATGCTTAATCATCTTTATAGAAGAGTTTAATGAATTCATTTCATTACAGGAGAAAGTAGGGTCAGTATTTTAAATTGTGTGGGTAATTCTCTTAATTTAGACATGTACATATAGAGTCTAATCCCTTTTCCCTGAAAATCTATAAAGTAATGACTGATATTTGACATGCCTATATCTGATTTTTAGAATCTTGCATATAAATACCTTGAATGTGTAGACTATTTCAATCACATAGATGTTTTAAAAACTTTGTGTATATACAAGATCTGTGTGTAAGTAGTGTTTATTAACTTAAAGTACCCTTGTTGCTGTGGTGGGGGTGTGATTAAATCTGACAGATAATTTTGACAGATTTTTAAAAAAAATTTGATGTTACAAAGTGACTCATAGATTGGCTTTTAA